GCTGTATTGGTGGCTATGTGTATTGAGCAGAGGTGGTAGTCACAGGACAAGAATGGGATTAGTAAAAAGTAGTCTTGCTTCTATCGTGTTGTAAAATGCATGTCAGACTACATGGCTTTAAAAGAAAACTTTGCAATGGAAACTGTCTTTAAATCTGATCTGTTCCTTCAGTTGTTTGAGGATGTAACAGGAAACAGGTGAGCAGGTTGAGCTGAGCCAGGGGTGGGAATAAGTGGACAAGAGGGCGTGTGTGTTGAGGGGGGAATACTTCAAGCCAGGATTGCTGTAAAATATCTTCTATTATGAAACCATGTCACACTGAGACAGTGGAAAGCTGACCTGAGGGAGGGGAGTGGCAGGAAAGTAGAGAACTTGCAGTAGAATGCACTGAATCATTACAACCCCTAGAAGTATGATTTCTGGTTAAGTTTATGCTGATCTAAGACTTTGCTTCTGGAAAGGGCAGTCTGCCCTCCCTGCAACTCTAGCTTCATCATTTCTTTATTCCTGTTGCTTCTAGTGATCGTGAAGTTGCAGGATAGGTTGGATTATCTCACTGATCTGCCTGAAAGCGAACTTGCCAAATCAAGAGTCTAGTGGGTTGCTTCAGTCACCAGACAGTGATGTGTCTGTAGAGCCAACATAACACAGGAATTGAAGTGCAGGGAGCAGTGGGTTTGCGTTTTTCAGTAGCCATTTAAGTTAGCCATTTATGCTGATAGTGAAGTAGCCTCGCTATTTTTTTTTAATGCCTAAGTATCTGTTCTTTTAAAAAAAACCCAAAAAACCCAAGAGGCCAAACAGACAAAAGCACCCCACCACCATCCCACAAACCCCCAGCTTTCCCCATTTAAATCATTCTGCAGTCAAATTGCAGTAGCTTATCTAGTTTTTCTTGATACGTTTTTTTTAAGCAGGTTGGAAGGTTATCTTTGCTGTTAAGAATGCTAAATCTGGAAACTTTTCTATACAATGACGTGCTAGTTTCATCTTGCAAGTACTTTTATCTTGCATATTTTTTAGATAAGTCCATTATTCTATGTGGCATTCTCAGGTAATGGTGATGAGCGTCTGTAAAAATTCTGTGAGTAAAATGCTGCATAAGGAAAGAGATTTTGTGTGTAGTTTGATAATGAATAATATAACATGTTAAAACTTTTGGTCATAACAATGATTTTTTTTTTAATGTCTAATGTTGGTCACTGGTGTTGAAACAACTGCTCTGTGTGGCTAAAAATGAACTAGTGTATTGTTCAGATCTATGATGCATTTTGTGTTGCAAATATAAAATTCATGCTGTTGAATTTATATTCTGCTATTGTTTATAATTTATACATCATATATATGTTAAACCGTACTTCCAGACTCTCTAAAAACCTGAATTAAAAAAACCCAACACCTCATGTGTCAAGGTCAAAGTAAAGGTGCATTCCGCAGCAGCATTTGATGTTATTCTTCTACATCTCAAATTAAATGTAACATATTGTAAGTGGGTTTTCCTTCTACCAAATCACTTCTAACTAGTAGAGCCTGGTCTGTCATTTTATGGGGATGATTTATGTGAATTATGGTGGACTTTATAAGTCACTGTACCCCCATCCACCGGGCACGGGAAAGCAATGGATACCTTGATCTCAGCCCCCTATGCACACATGTGCTTGCTCATTACCTTTTTCACTGAGCCAGGTGTTTAGCTCATATCAATGAAGAGCTAGTTTCCTCAGACCCTTCAAAGCTTTACAGACAACTTCCTCAAAAATTTTTACTGAAGTTTTTCTTTTGTTGTCCCATCTAGAAAATTTCAGAACTTGCAAAATATCATCCAACTGAAAAAGGCTCAAAATCTTTATCAGCTTTCTGCTAATCAGAAAATACTGCAGACCAACAAATGCCAAAGCTTACTTCTTACAATTTTTTTCTTTAGTAATGCTCTTTAAATAGCATAGCGATGACATAATTTCAGTGTCTTCATAAGGCTTTCAAGCATCTTATCAATAATCTTTGAAGGTACTAAATTAGCCTTGTAATCTGTACAGTTCAATACAGTGAAGATGATAGACTGAAGAGTTTTCTTCAGCTGATTTCGTGGTCATGGTTACCATTAGATTTGCTGATTCCTTATCTTTTCAATGTAATTACAGAGAAAATAGTCTGTGATCTGTTTTAATGTATACAAGATAAAAGCAAGTTTTCAGGACCACATCTGTGTTGTGGTCCTGAAAATGGAGCAGTACAGTTTGGCTTCTTCTGTAATATTTTGTGTGGAAAAGTGAATCAAGAATTACTGTGTAATTGGCATGTGACGTTAATTCACTAACGTGACTGTTCCAGTGAGTACTGTTCTGAATGGTAGCCACTTAGCTAAGTTGTCAAAATTTTGGCAGCAGCTCTAGAAAATCCTGCAAAATAGAATAGCTGTAGGAAGTAAAGCTGCAGTATGAAGGAACAGGATCCTGTGCATTGAAGGAAACTACCTATCAGCTAATGAGAAGGAGGATGCAGCCACTGAACGTCTTCAAAGAATTTGCCATTTATAGCATATTAATATCTTGGAGAATTTTAAGGTGTCATGGACATAAAACTGCCCTTCCATCCTCCTGTCCTGTAATTCACCACGGTCTAGAAGAGAGATGTGGTCTCTAGCTTGCATAGCCAGAAGCAACTGAGGACTAGTTACAGGCCCTCTGATGCTTTGCTGTGAAAAGTAAGATAAAAATCTATTGCACATATAAGCTGTTTGTTTGTTTTCTTGGTCCTGTTTTTTTCAATAGGACCAATGCCTTTTAAAAGCATCCAAAAATGCAATAGGCATCTCATTTCTGTGAAAGTAAGATGCAGTCTTAGCCCCCAGATATTTTACAGTTGAGCTTCAGATGAAAATCTCCCTGGTATTTGACAGCTAACTAAAGAAAAGATTTGAAAGGGGATCTGGTAAAGCTAGTGCTCTTGCAAATATTAGGGTGAGTGAATTTTTTCATAGCATAAAAAAAAATACTAAGTCAGTTAATTTCTTACTTCTCTCTCAAAGATGAGAGATGTTAAAGAAATAGCAACAGTAATGTTTCATATATTCACTTTTCAATGCATCTGTTAAAGTGGTTGAATGTACTCTAAATATTCTTTTATTTTATATCTGTGTAGTTCAGATATGTGTATCCAGATATGATGTGAACCACAGTGCGCCAGACTTCCTCCCTCTCTAAGGCAGCTAGAAACAGTTCTGATGTTGCAAACCAGAGACATATGTATATCCTAGATTTGAAAATACATCGTTTCATTACAAAATGAATTATGTTTATCAGTGCAACTAATGTCTGTTTATTTTGCTACATTTCATAAAGCTTCGATAACTTGTGTTTTACTAAATTATATCCTTAATTTTGGAAACTCCTGCATCAGTGAATCTCTCAAAGAGTTAATGTTGGTAGGTTGGGTTGGTTTTTTGGGTTTTTGTTTTCTTTCAAGTATTCTAGGCATGTGACAGAGCTGTAGAAGGTGTTATGAATAGAAGCTGAGAAACGGTTCACGATAATCAATATACAGTCTGTTAAGTGATGGTGTTGTAGTTTGCTGTTATGAGTGATTTTGACTATGAAGTGAGAAGCTTAGACCTGACAGGAAAACAAAAAATCCTAAGAGGTCAAGAATGGTCTCTTAGTTATTTGCTTACCTCAAGAAAGCTGTGATTTATGATGGAGTCTAAAAAGACTGAGCTCACCCACAGACTACAAAATGCATTTGGTTCCTGGCCAAGTGCTTATGCCTGCTCCGCAGAGAACAAAGCTCCAGAGCAGCCTGGTTGTGGATGCTCCATGTAGCGGTTCGTCATGGGTCTCCTGTGGGCCTGCATGATGCTGTGGCCTGTAGATGTGATTGCTTCAGACACTCTCTGGAAAAAAGTGACTATTATCCTGCAACTGCTAGGATGGTGTATTAAATGTGAAACTGAGGATTTATGTTGTATACTCAGTGCAGTAGCAGGAGAACATGAGGAGATGCTCAAGAAGTCAGGGTCTGTTAGGATAGTGTCTAAGCAGTCTGTAGGAAGGAGCGCACGTTCTCACTGGTAGTCTAAGTCACAGACTCTTAATTCTGCTGTTTTGGAGGGCACATTGGAGTGAGCTATTCCCAGAACCACAGCTTTTTGTTTGTTTATTTTATAGGAAACTAGTTGGCTTACTCTAAAAGAGAGTTTAGGAGTGAATAGCACTTCTGTGGTGTGGATGGTCAAGATAACAGATTATTGTAATGAATTAGGAGTTCAGTTATTACTTGGCAGCATGGTAAGCTTACTGGTACCTGTTGAGAATATTTTTGAGTAAAAGCTGAGAGCCTTGTTCTGTGAGGATATTTCTGAGGCTTACTGAGATCCCATGTTTGAATATCAGGCGGATAATGAAGAACTGTTTAATTCAATTATAGCATCTGCTTGCAAGGCAGTCTGTGACTGAGTGGTTCCACTTTTGTTAGCTGGTATTAGTTGGATTTTTTGAATTTTGAAATTTTGAAAGCTTGAATTTTGTAAAGAAACTCAGCTTCTCTTGTAAGTAGCATGTTGGTTCAATGGTAGGGAAAGATTGGATGATAGAAGAGGTTTCCTGGCATGAGATTACAGCAGTTTCTGATTTTCTGTTTCTCTCTGAGGAACTGCCATAAGGGAGCCGCATGTTTGTCTCAGAATTGTGTGAATACTTTTTAAAGGTAGTTTTTACTGCTAGATAAGATTTCCTCTGGAAAAAAAAAAAATCTGATTCCCACACTGTTTTGGGTATTGTATTGTTTGTTTGTATGCTATAACTAGAAGGAACTTAATGTGAAATTATTATGCTTTGGAACTGTTGGTATAGCTCTTCACTTTCTCTTTTTGAAAAAATACTGATGTTATTTTAGCTACTACTTATTTGTAGTTCTGAGAATGAATATTGTTTTAGTATTGTCCCGTTGTCATTCAACAAATACGTTATTTATGCATTTATGCCATCTCTGCATATTTATTTCAGTGCCATGCGTGTGTTGTTGTCCAAGTTACCACGACCATGGATTGTTGACGAGAAAAAAGATGATGGTTACACTGCCTTGCATCTGGCAGCTCTCAATAATCATGTGGAAGTGGCTGAACTTTTGGTGCATCAGGTAGGGCTCTTTTCTCAGGAGGATTTAAATGCCACATTTCAGTTAACCATCTGCTGTGAAAATAGTTTGCTTCTTGACACCTGCAATCGCAATGCAAAAGCAATGGAGCAGGGAAGGACATGTGGTGAGCTCTAAAGGTCAGACTTGCCTTTGAGATCATTACAATGGCCTAATGGTGCAGAGGGACTGAAAAATTTTATACCTAGTTTGTTTCAACAGATCAACGTCCGTACATTGAATAATTGAAGTATTTAATAATTTCTCTCAAATCTCCAAACTGTGAATCACATTCAGGGTCTTATTCAGTGCCCTAATTGACTGCCTTCCCTGTAGATGAATTGCTGGGATGATAATGCTCTAATGCTTTGAATGTCTTCCAGGGCAATGCTAACCTGGATATCCAGAATGTTAACCAGCAAACTGCTCTGCACCTTGCCGTTGAACGACAGCATACACAAATTGTTAGGGTAAGTGTCTGGTTTGCAATAACCCGTATGGTACTTAACTCAAGCTGATTGTGGCTGTTAAGACAGAGGTACTTCATGAACACTTAAAAAATGATTTAACAACATGTAGCCATTGAATGTTTGTATGATTGATTCTGATAAATTCAGAAACCTGCCAACTTTCACAGAAGGTCAGTAGGCAATATGAAGGATGTTTCGGGAAGGCTCAGTTTTTGTACATGTACGTTACAGCTTCCTCTACGTGGTTGCCAATTCTAGCATCCCTCCTTTTTGAGCAAGGGAGAGTGTGTTCCTGTTACTTGTCTGAGTCTTGTGGTCCTGTAGTGGGACCTTCAAATAGCATTTTTGATGTCTCTTGCTGTATGAGTAATTATTCTTGCTCACAGCTTTTGCAAATTGTAGCAAAGTGAAACATCATTTAATGAGTTTAAATACTTTTCAGTCTTCTCAGTGTGTAACTTTCCCCATTCTTAGCTTGGGAGAGCTATAAGCAGTAACAGAAGTTCCTTATTAGTAAAAGTAATGCTATTTCTGTTTTTTGCTTGCAGGATTGCAAAAGTTAATACTTCAATTTAACAAAACTTTGTTACTGGCACAGGAAATGGGAGTCTGGCACAGCTTGCCCATTCTGGCCTGTGTGCACTGTCCATACGGGACCTATGTGATTTAGCATGGGCTGTTGAGGCTCAGAGAGAGTGAGCACTCACTGCTGTAGATGTTCCCTATGAGTGAACACATCAACCTGGCCTTGGCCCTCTGCATACATTTTTTTAGTTTGTGAGATAGTTTTAGTTTTGTAAATTTTTTTTACAGAATTTTTTTAAATTTTAATTTTAATCTAATTTTTTTTAGAATGAGAGTCATTTTATATTAAAAACTTTCTCTTATTCAGGCCTAAGAGAATTGTCCCCCCCTGCACAGACCTATATCTGCGGTTCTGTTTAGTGTTATTTTGCCACAAGGTTTCTCCATCTCGAAGGGTTGATGGATGTGATCCCATTACAGTGAAACATGTGATATGGCCCTATATCTGGAACAGCTTGCTACCAAAAGAATGGTTTCCTAGAGTCAGTGTCACTTGCATCCTGCAAGCTATTTGGCAGCTACATTTGGTGAGCTCTTGTGCCCTTCTGAACTGACATGGTACCTGTGAATACAATACCAATGTAGCAGATGAGCAGGAAGGTGGGCATGTAGAAGAACTAATATGTGTATTGGACTGACATGCTTATATCTGAGAGTGTTTAAGTGAATGACCCAGTAGAGTACCCGTACTTTAGAGTTGGATTAACTTTGAGAAGTCCTAAAATAACTCATGCAGCCGTGCAAAGAAATGTTGGCTCTGTATTTCAAAATTAATTCCTATTGGGTACTCTTCCAGGGCTGGGTTGTACCCTCAGGCATCTGTGGAATAGTGGTCAAAGGTAGCAGGGCTCTTTTAAAAGCTCTGCTGCCGTGACAAAGGGTGGTGGTTTGCCTTTTTTTTTTTTTTTCAACTTCTGCAAAGGATTTAAATTTCCATGGATAGCTAAGGATTCCAGGTTGCTCTGAAAAGAGTTCTCTTACATATTTTTCTTCCAGGAGAAGCTCTTAAGCAGTAAATAGCTAGTGGCAGTCACAAGATATTCACATGAGAGAGAAAAACTGGGCAGTGTAAGTCCATTTAGAGAGTGTAAGAAGTTGGGGGCAGACTGTTGCAACTATTAGCTGGTGGTTTTTTTTTTGTTTCACCTGTGGAAGAAAAGGTTGGGGAAAATGGTAAACTGTGGTCAATGTATTTGCAGGTAAAATGTAAATGCAGGTATTTCCTTGAAAATTAAGTTCTGAATTCCTTTTAAGCTGTTTTCCTTTTAGCCTTTCCTAGTGTCTGAGATTCTTTGGTTCTGAGAGGCTGAGATCCTTGCAAGCCTGTGGGTTCCGAAGAGGGAGATCCCCCTTTATGTATTCCTGTTTCTAGGCTATGCCTTTTGTCTCTGCTGCTAATCCCACTTTTGGAGAGTAGCAAAAACTCAAAACTAAAGTTAAAACCTCAGCTGCTATCTACAGGTTACTGAATAACGACGATGACAGGGTTTAATTTTTAGGGGCAATTGTTACTTGTCATCATGTGTTGATTTGTTTTGTTTAACAACATATTTAAGAAAGTTCTGGTGCATCGAATTATAGGAGGGCTCTGTGCAAAGGCAATATGAATAGGAGGGTCTGTGCAGCCTTATGCTTGCTTTCATGTCACGTGACCTGGAACGTGTGCCTAAAATTAGCCTTAAAGACAAGTCTTACAGTTCATTACTTCCTAAAGTGTTGTGAGATAGTATTTAATAGTGTCAGTGGTTTTTCTGTCTTCTGTTGAAAACATGCTTAACTACTTTGTTAATAGGAGGACACTGTAAATTAAGTTGTCAAATTTAGCGTGATGTGAAAGTGGTGATTTTTGAGGTCAAAGTATCTAAAATATTCCCACTTTTTCTGTTTCTGATATATTACTGTAATATGTTACATTGTTTGGAAGCTATCTGTAAGATTTAAAGGTTTTGGACAATAGAAAGTATCCTTTAAAGAAGAGCATCTCTTGTAGTGCTCCCTCAGAGCACAGGCAAGCATTAGGCTTCTGCTGAAATGAGCTTGATATTTGAAAGAGATAAATGCTTCAGTTGAGGGCTGAACTCTTAACTATGGAAAATAAATGTAAATAAACTCAACTGTGAATTGTTGCAAGATAAAAGAATAACCCTTTTGTACCTCCTAGAGCATCCTAGACCATAGTTTCACTGAAATTTAGTTTTAAAAAGAAGAAATAGGTGGTTTTGATTTTTAAATTTGGTTCTCTTTCTTTTCAGCTCTTAGTGCGTGCAGGTGCTAAGCTGGATATTCAGGATAAAGATGGGGATACTCCCCTGCATGAAGCCCTGAGGCACCACACCTTGTCACAGCTCCGCCAACTCCAAGACATGCAAGATGTGGGCAAGGTAGATACTGCTTGGGAGCCATCAAAGAACACAGTAAATAAAATGCATTTATTTTTTTTTTCTGTAAATTTGTCTCTTTATTTGTCTATTTTGTCTCATTCTGTACTGTTGAACTGTTTTTTGGCAGCATAAGGTTATGTGGACATTCTGCATTAGACTGCAGTGTAGGCAGAAATCGTATTGTTACATGGGGCTTTTTACGTGTTGTCATTGTCTTTGTTAAAGAAAAATACGGGGTTTTTAGTTCAAAATATTCCTACCAATCTGTCTTCTATAGTGAACATGTATGCTGCCAAAAGATCAAAAGTAGCTTTTTATGAAAGAGAAATAAACAGTATTTCAGTACAGAATAAGACTAAAATTATGTTTTCTGTGATTCAACACCTTGCATGTCTTTGTAGCTTTAATTGTTTAGCTGCATATGTAACTGTCTGAAAATTTATTCTTTTTGAACAAGGCATTCTTAATATTTGCATCTTTATTGCTACATATCTTTCTGACAGAGTTCATTTCAGAAATTGTCCTGTAGTAAGGAAATAGTCGAAGAAACTCAGGGTAACAAAGGTCAAAATGCGTTGCTGAAAAAAGAAACACTCACCCAAAAAACTGTGTGAACACAATATGTAAAGATGAAGTTTATAGTTTTGCTGAATGGCAAAAGAGAAATAAAATTCTTGAGTGATTGGGATTGAGAAAAGCAAACAATGATTTTTTTCTTTAAATATTGAAGATGCACAACATAACTAATGATTCAGCAAATTGGAATCACTGTTACCAGTGTCATAATATTTTTTCTAATTTATTTGTGGGTGACTAAGTTTTTGCATTTCATTCAAAAAAACCCCACCAACTTTATTAAAAAGCCTTTGTTAAAAACAGTAATTCCACTGTACAACAAATGTTTTTCGAACTGCTTACTTAGTTAAATCACTGAAATACACTGGAATAAGCTTTTAAAAGAGATTTCAAATATGACTGGCATATGTAAGAAAATTCTTGTGTCCTTTTGAGAGGAAGAAAGCAACTACAGCTCAGTTGTCTCCATGATCTGAAATGAACTATGTGAGAGGTGGCCAAGACAATTTGTGTGCTTGTATTTAATTGTGAAACAAATGAACGGGAGATAAATACTTTTTGTGTGATTCAACACTTCATAAATAGGTTTTCTCTGTTACTCATCTCATTAGTGGCATCCATAATGAAACTGGAGTTGTTGTGTTTTGAGTTTAACACAAGTAGTAGTTTTTTCTTCTACTGGCTTTTTAAATTTTAGGTTTGGGGGATTTTGTTTCAAAAGATAAGTCTTCTTTTTCTAGTTTCATTTGAGCTGTATCCTTGTTTTTTTTTTAAAAATATACTTTTGGTTTATTTCTATTAAAAGTTAAAAAATAATTTTTAAAAAAAGGTGGGGGCAAAGACATTTCAACAAACAAAATAAGTCCTTGCATGATTGTATCCCTGATCACCTAAAAATGTTCTGATGTTTAAAAAAAAAAATCGCAATCAACTAGTACCTCCTATTTTAGCTTGATCAAACTATTGGTCATATTTTTGCACTTTGAAAAATTTTTGCCTAACAAATAAATTTAGGAGGTTTACGTGGTGTGGAGAAGATATGCGCCCTCAGGAGAGGTGAAAACTTGCTTATTTTAATTTTATGTGGCAGCAATGTAAGATGTGGCTGAAACGTAAAAGATGGAGTCAAGCCTGGATAAAATATACCTGAAAAATCTTTAAGATGATCAGCAGATCAAACTATCTTGAAAAGGTTGTTCTGTGGAAGATTGTAAATGAGAACAATACTTGTACCTATCTACCTTTATTTAAATAAAGGTAATGTAAAAATGCTATAAACTAGATCTTACCAGTAAACAGTTCTAATAGTAAGCTACCTTTGGCCTGGAATCATATGTCAAAAAAGACAGGATCTAGGCTGTTAAAATATGTGCAGGCATCGGGACCTTTAAAGCTATGCAAGGACACATTTGTAATTTGTCTTGTATAGAATTGCAGTTACAGGTGGTGGATAATAGAAGATAAATAGGATTAACAGATTAGTCTGGGAAGCAGTAAGGCTTTCTTTTTGTGGATATAATGGCTTAAGTTAAATTGATGGAATACATATTTTTTTGATTAATTTTTATTAATTCCTTTAAAGATTGGGAAAACTTGTCAGATTCCTTTAGTCTATGTGATAGCAAATCTGATACATAAATCTTTGTATTTTAGAACTCATTTTTGCTTAGCTAAATTTCAGTTAACTTTGGACTACTGTCTTGAAGGTACCAACCTACTGAGCCCCATCAGGTACCTGTTTGTAGGATAGTGCTTCAATAAATAAAGATTTCTCTTTTTCAGTTGAATAAACTTTTTTTATTCAACTTTTATTCAGTTTATTCAACTTTTTCAGTTGAATAAACTGAAAAAGAACAAAAATGTCACTTGCAGGATTTTAGATGTTTTTCATATTTGGTGAAGTTGGTTGGACAGCAACTTCATTGAAATTCTACCATTTGTTACTTTTTGCTTTGAACACAGTTTAAAATATGAAACAAACTTTTTACTGATAGTGTGAACTTATTTCATAAGTGGAATTATATAGAATGAATTCTTTAGCATTGATGTTTACTAGTTCCTTCTGAATGTCAACATTAAGCTGTTCTAATAACTAAACAAAGTTTTTCAGGTTTCTTTTGATAGACTATTTAAAATGTGTGTAGTGAACAATCTTGATAGTACACAAAGCCCTACATGTTTTAGGTATCAATCTGAAAAACATTTCTATCTTCAAGTGCTATAAGTGGTGAACCCCTGTTTCTTTAAATAATTTTGAAGTTTGTCATCCAGCACATTGAGGTGATTGTACAGTTGGGAGAAGGAGAAATTTTCTGAAGTACAGTCCTCACCACCACAAAAAAGGTCGTTTCAGCTGCTCTGTTACAGATTCAGTGTTTCTTGACCTAGGGTACTTTTTATTCTAAATAAATGTATTATTCTTCAGGCTTAGTGTAATTTATTTTAATACATCTTTCAGACCCTTAAAATGCTTTTAAGATTCAAAATGATGCTGCTGGCTAAATCCTAACTTATACTAAAGAAACTCTAATGGAAGTCAGTTAGGTGTTTACAGCTTCAAAGATAGCTCAGTAGTTACAGTTGCTTAGATGATACTTATACTGTTTGTGTGGATTACACCGAGACTTCTCCTCTGCAGGTGGATTGGCTGTGACTGGCTTGTGTTGATGCATCTCAGGGCTAGCAGCCTCCAGAGGAAGCTTGCTGCAACTGTACTAAGACATAATGTTTGTATTTGTGGATGGGTTGGTTTTTGGCATTTTAGGACTCAAGATTTTCTTGAATAATGTTGATGACTGCTCCAGGTGGAGGAGCCAGTCTTGGTGTAGTGTCTTATGAACACCTAGCGAAGCAAATGATCCTGTTAGCTGTGTTTGATTTTCTGCTTGGAGACGCAATAGCTGTTTTGTTCGGGAACACCTCAGAGCCCACAAGGTTCAAGTGTGGATGGTAAGAGAACTCTTGTCCCAGCAAGTAAGAAAGAACTACAGTAAATTGTTCAGTGTAGGCATGACTTAAACAAAAGTCTACTCTGCCAACCTTGGAGCAAATCAGCTTTCACTGGACGTTGTGCTACCTTGGCTGGATTACTGACATGGTCCAAGGTACTTGTACTGAAGCTAGGTGAAATCTCTGCTTTACTTCAGCCAATGCTGTATTTGAGGTGCAGAAAAATGGTTTGAATTTATAAAAAAAAAAAAAAGTTTTGTGATCTGAACACCACAAAACAATTTCTGTCCATAACTTACTGGTTTTCCTTGTATGAAGTATTTAAAGCTGTACCGTTCTTCCCTGATGATAAGGAAGAATTGCAGGACATGAGTATCTGTGAAATCATGAAGTAACCTTCAAGAGTCTCGTAGCACCTCAGCACCTCTTGTAGCATTTACTGATATAAGAACTCCTGAATTGTAAAAAATGTATGGACTGAGGTTTAAAAAAAATTGCTTCCCTGGGAAGCTTGGTGGCTGTATGCTGAAAAGGATAATCTTGCAGTTATCAAGGCAGGATAAAGACTTCTAATACGTACTTCCCATGCTGCAAGACATGGACCCAAACCAAGCCTTTTTCTTCACAAGTCACCTCTGAATGATGGGAGAAATAACTAGAGAGGTTTTGAAAACTGTTTTCTTCATAGTTGAGACTTCAAGATACACAGCCTTTAGGGCTGCAGTGACAGGTATCTGATACTTTAAATTTATTCCTGTATGCTGTTGTGTCTAAAATAGCACATGTAGTTCTTAAAATACAAAATGGCTGTTAATCCAGCAAAATTACTTAATTTTTAGGGTTGATACTTGACATCCAGCTTTTACAAGACCAGCTGCAGGGATAGACTGTAGAAACTGAAAGTGATAGAAAAATGTACGTCAGTCAAGTTGGCACTTAAACCAATTAGTGGGAATGAGGTGCATACAAAATCCTGCCTCTGTCCTAGTGTTGAAGCCTTTATTCAGGATTTAAAACTTCTTGAATTAGAGCTGTTCCAGCTGTGCCAAAGCTGTTCCTTTGAATATAGTCTAGTGTAGTTTGCTGAGGGATTTTTAGTGGTGCTAGCAGTTTCATGTTATATGTAGTCTGCGTTGTACTTACACATTTTTACCTGATCAAGTTTTAATATAAAAAGATGTTGGGAGCAGGCCCAGAATGCTCCAGAGTAGGTGAATCCTTTCCTTGCTGGGCTATGGTAGTGAGCCTTCTCTCTTCATTTTTCTAGCTGGCCCTGTGAATTGTGCATCATGGGTACAATAATACAGGAATACAGTAATAGTTCTAAAAAGGCAAAGGAGCATCACATGATTAGGACAGGAGGACAGGTATGTGAGTTTAAACCCCTCCAGGCTGAGAAAGCAAATGAAATCAGTCTTTCTTGGGCAGGTGCTTTACTCGCTAGACTAAAAGGAAATATGCAGTCATTTCTCTGCCCAGCTATGTTTTAAATCCAAGTGTGGTGCTGGTAGCATTTTGTCTCAACTCGGCAATTTCGGTATACTTAGAGTGTATTCTGAATATACTTACTGGGACTTTGCCCTTTACAGTGCATGTATAGAAGGACAACCACTTCACAAATGAGTATAGGTGTGCAGGAGATTGAATGCTTCAACAGCTGAACTGTTCCTTGCTGAATTTTAGTTTCTTAAAGGAAAGCTGAGTGTAGCTGACTCAAAATTAAGCAACCATACAATTGTGTTGATTTTAATTCTAGAGATGCTTCTCTGGGCTTACAGATTTATACATATATATGTGTGTGTGTATGTGCATGTGCAGATGTCAAGTAGTTTTCCTTTAGTCAGTCTATTCCTAACTGTTTAGAGAGTCTTTCAAGTTGCTTTTGTATTTGTTTTCTTTCAGTTAATAATGGGACTTGGCACTCAGGGAGCAGAGAAGAAGAGTGCAGCATCTATTGCCTGCTTCCTGGCAGCCAACGGAGCTGACCTCAGCATTCGTAATAAGAAGGGTCAGTCTCCTCTTGATCTCTGCCCTGATCCTAGTCTCTGCAAAGCGTTGGCTAAATGTCACAAAGAAAAAGTCAGGTTTGTATATTCATAAGATCTGCAGTTTCCAAATCTCTGCTTTCTATAGATTAACTGATATATTTAAAACATTGTGCCTTTATTAGCAATAGTGTTAAAACATACAAGCTTTTTCTTGACTTTCAATTAATTCTTTGTATTCTATGGTACATTGAATGCTACTTACAAATACATTAGTTGAAACTGACACAAGTCTTACAGGATTTTCATACATGTTAATATGGGAGGGAGGAGCATGGGAAGATGGCAACGTGCAGGTAAAGGTTGGTAGAACTTCAAACCATCCCAGAAAAGGTAGGTGGGGAATCACTGAAGGAATAACTAAGCATTGGGACAGGTTGCCCAAGGAGGTTGTGAAATCTCTGCCCATGCAAGTTTTGAAGACTGGAGTGGGCAAAGCCCAGTGGGTGACTTCTGAGTACCTGTCAACCTGAATGATTGTATGATTCTGTAAAGAGAGAAGGAGGGGGTAGGCCTGATGTCTCAGAAGCACTTCTCTAGGAATTACGATTTCAGTGAAATATGTTATCAGGTGCGTGCAGTATGAGAAGTTTCAGCTTGCTATGTGTCCTAGTTGTGTTCCCACCATTGGCTTACATGATTCTCATCCTTAATTCCTGTATGGAAATCAAAAATGTACTTTCAAAATAACACAAAGGGAGACTGCTTTTTGTTGATGCTGCCCTGCCGTGTAAGGTGCTTATTTTCTTCAGTCTTTCTGTCTCTGTCTGTCTCACCCCTGTGACTGTTCTTTCTCGCCACCTTTTATGGGCTTGTGAGGGCTGCAGGAATGAGTCGATTAGGTTCAACACGCGCTCCCTCTGCTGGGTTCGCAGCAGCATAAGACAAAGATACGAGGTGAATTCACTGCGGGACCTTGGGAGTTCTTTTATAAGCCTGCCGTTTGCTAGGTATTGGAATTATACTGAAGATTAAGGGGGTGAGCTGTGCAGTTCTGAATCTACAGGAAATGTCTCTACTAATAAGTAAACTCTTAAGATGCGAGGGAAAATTTTTTATGTTCACAAGATGCTATTCTAACTTGTGCCGCCTGTTTCTGAACAGTGTCTTACCTGAGCGTGAGACCTTGCACTCTGGTGTCAACTGTACGTTTGGGAAAATGCAGTTTGGATTGCTTTATGATGATACACTGATGGCTGAATGCATAGGAGTATATAGATACACTGCCAATTGATGATTTTATTTTAAAATCCTTTGAAGTATGTTTGACTGCAAGGTTTCTTTATAGTGGTCAGGTTGGTTCTCGAAGTCCATCTATGATCAACAATGATTCTGAAACCTTAGAAGAATGTATGGTGTGTTCAGACATGAAGAGAGATACTCTGTTTGGCCCATGTGGACACATTGCCACGTGTTCTCTGTGCTCACCACGGGTGAAAAAATGCCTCATCTGTAAAGAACAAGTTCAGTCTAGGACAAAGGTAAAAACTTCCAAAGTTTATTGGTTCCCTTTCTGGTTTTAATGCAAAAGATTTTTTTAAAAGGACAAGGAAAATTTTAAGTGGTATTTTGCCTTAAAGGTGTCTTGCTGGATGAAATTAATTTTGCATCATAATGATATCTTGTCACAACATTGTATGTTACTCTTCTCTGTTTGCCTGTATTCATGTCCTACCTGCCCCTCATTCTCTCCCAACCTGACGTTGTCTTTATTGTTCAGATCCTGAGAATTCCTAATACAGTCACCTGAGGATGCTTTATTTAAAGAGATTCCTCTTCCCACTCCCTATATTTTTTTTCTCTATGTTAAGATAAATTGCTGCTTTTCCTGAAGTATAGTTCCTTTAGTAATATTCAGCTCTCTGAGTTCTTTTATTCTTATGGCTGCTTGGAAAGATGATTTGCCTGTAAACTGAGTTAGTTAATATGTGTATGGTTTTGAAGTTAATTACTTTCAGCTTTTACCTTCTCTTTCTTTGGAATCATGAATTTCATTACACTCTCTCTCCTTCAAAGTATCAACCAGTTGTGCCCTATTTTGGGGACTTAATCCTAGTAAGGTCCTCAGATTTCACAAATGGTTGCTCCCAAGTATTTGTAACTATATGGATGCATGCCCGTTGCTTTTCTGTTTGGGTATTCTTTTATTCCCTGTAATCACAGAGTCTTGTTCTTCTGTTGTTTTTTGTCTGTTTAAAAAAAAAAAAAAATTAAAAATCTCATGTTCCACACACAGGCTTTCTGGTCTTTAGAAAACCCACTCTATTCTCTTTTATCTTTTTCCAAACACATTTGACTAGTCCACTTCTGTGTCTTTTTTCCTCTGCTTCAGAGTAAATATAGGAATTATTAACTTGTACTGGTTTTACTGTTCACTGTCTTATTCTTACTTCTTATACCGTTCACTATTCTGCCATGCATATTTTCAAAGGCCAAATGTTAATACAGTGTGAGCTCCTTTTCTCTGAACTTTCTTTATAGTCAGTGAAAAGGTTCTGCCACTGAGTGATTCAGAGAAGCAAAGTAAGGCTTCTGCTTCCACTCATCCAGCTAAAGAAGCTGATCTAGGGAAATCAGCTTTCCCAGGTGAAAAGTAACCTTTGTGGATAACCTCCCTTTGATTTCTTTTGCTAAACTAGACTATGTGGAATATTCAATACTTCTATTATACTCTTCTACATAAAAACTTACAGTAGTATCTGCAAGGCTAAGAAATGAATGAACCTGGACGAGAGTTCTGTGAACTGAAAGAGGTGATCCAGGCCAATATGAATAGAGTGGTATGTGATGCCTATGGTCACATATATATAGAGTTAATCACATTAAAGGGCTTGAGAAACCCTAACCTAGAACATCAAAAACATATTACTATGAAAATCTCTAAGTGAATTTAAGTATATATGGTGAAACAACGAAGGAGAAGAGAATAAAGAAAAAGGAACATATACTGTCTTAATTGCTTCTTTGTGCCTTTCAGTGTGCTGAACATATAAATATTGCCAGGAAATAAATATTAGAAGTCAATGTGATAACTAATTTAAGTTGCATTTTGAGGTGCTGAATTAGTTAAAATAACAGTAGATGGAGCTGATTAAAGTCCACATGCCTTGCCAAAGGAAGTGTAAAAGCAAAGTAATGTACAGAGTAGGAGGTAAACTTCTCATATGTGTGTTTATTGTTCTTTACAGATTGAAGAATGTGTAGTATGTTCAGACAAAAAGGCAGCAGTGCTTTTCCAGCCTTGCGGTCATATGTGTGCTTGTGAGAGTAAGTAAACTTGACAGGAAGTTCTTTTTGAAATAATCTTGAAACAGAACAATTTTAATCAGATTGCTAAAAGCTCATTAGTAATCTGAATTCAGGTCCAATTTACTTGATAGTCTCATGTGATAGTCAGAATTTTAGCATTATTTGACATGCTGGTAATGAAATAATTGGAGGACAAACTGGAGATTTTCAAAAATTCAGTAAGCAAGTGCTCTCCTATCTGAATTACTTAACTGTCAGTAGGCTTGCTCAGATTATAGGAGCCTGCTGTATATTGTTAAAACTTCTGAAGTAATTATAATTAGTTTTATTGCTTTGTTGTGGCTTTTTGGGGACATTCAGATGTACAAATGGTGTTTTAAGAGAATATTGTAAATAAACACATAATATGCTTCATTACTAATGTATTTGCACAAGGGCTATATTTTTCCCTAAAAGACATATCACATATGTTTGCAAAGAGCACCAGTTATGATTCACTCTGATTTATCTTGTGTAGCAAAAAAAGACATAGGACATCTTCAGAATATTTTTCTATCTTTTGAGAATACGTGGATGAGAATGCAGCCATCATCTTGTCATCAGACATCTCAGGGCTTTGTTGAAGGGTCATTTGCCTAGCGAAGAGCAGTCCTTGTTGCTGAGCATCTACATAAAAGGGAAGGTAATCATTCCCATAAGTAACTGCTCACTTGGTCTTGCTGAAAAAGTCTGTTTTCTTCCTCTGTTCTGGCTGACAGACCTGACATTGAATCAGTGACTTCACAGTTATCCTGATCTGGCCTCTTTCACTGTTTGCAGTTGAAAGATGATGAGAGAATTTTTTTATTAGTTTCCCAGGAAGAGGGCAACAAAAAGATTGATTGCTGTGGTGAAGGATTTCGGCAGTGCAATACACATCACCAAGTCTAAGCTGTAACAAGGACAGCAAAGGTTTAACAGACGTAGATAATTTCTTTCTAGATTATTTTCTGGACATCTTGTTCAAGCAGGATGAGAGTCTTCAAATTTGTGTAGTTTATAGGACCCACTCTATTGATTCACAGTAACCTTCAGCATTTATGACACACAATCATTTGCCTTTTGTAGAATTACAGTGTCTTTTCTAGGACTGTATTGAAAGATACAGGTTTATTCTTCTAAGGGTAAGGAGCCACATCTGTTTGCCCCTGGAGTATAGTATAGACTCCAAGGGACAGTGAGATCCTTTGTTCTAAAGGAAAAAGCAAGTAGCCAAGACTTTCTGGGAAGTTCTGGTCTCAAATGTGTGTGGTTTGACTTTTTTAACTTCTGTAATTCTTGTGGAATAGACATCCATTTGGAGAAAGAGGAATCTGCTCACCTGAAATATGTTAAAAGAAGATAAGCAGAATAGGTTTACTTTGAATCCCAAACAAGACATTGTTCATAGTTGCAATTTGCAGAAAATTATGTGAAGATGAACACAAGTAGTTATTTGTATTGTAAACATCTATTATGGCATTGCTGTATAGTTACTCTGAATAAACAAGCTCCTGGACAGGAAAGAAGAAAAATGAAATAGCAGAATTCAGAGTTTATTTCTGTGTCCTCTCAGATTGTGCAAGCTTGATGAAGAAATGTGTACAATGTCGGGCAGTGGTTGAGCGACGAGTGCCTTTCATAATGTGCTGTGGAGGGAAAGGTACAGAAGATACCACTGATGATATTTGTGAGTGACTACAAAACCCATACTCTTTCGCATTTCCCCACCAACTTGTTACTCTTTTAAATGACCTAAACCTTTCTTCTCCTTTTTAAAGAAATGTTTAATAAAAACAGTGTTGTTAAGCCAGGTATCCGTTTGCTGTTTGCACTACTTTCTATGTTGGTAGCAGGAGGCGTGATGGTTACACCAGTCGTTACACTAAAGGATTGCTTCCAGTATCCGGCATAGAAGCTGAAACATATATGACTTCTTTGCCACTTATTAACATCCTATGAAGCAAAACCTGAAGATTGTAATTGTGCAAATGGGCAAATAAATGTGGGGGTTTTTTTACTTCTGGAGCTCTCTGACTGAGAAAGGAATGGTAAATATTTTGCATCGAGGTACAAGCAACTTTCACGACAGATCGCTCAGTTTTACATCTTCTGCATTGACTAGTTTTTAAACTTCTTGTGACTTCTCTGAATAATTTCTATGAACTATTCGTATTTGCTCTGTGTGCGTATGTGTGGTATGCAGTGTTTGAATTGAGTATATGTGAATTGGAATATTAGGTAATTCTTGTTGTACTGTTCCTAAATAGATAACTATAAGAATAATCCTTGAAATCCAGGTTTTTAATACTCATGCTGGAAATTTAAAATTTGTCATTTGAAATACTTCTCAAATTTTCTGTTTCTTACGGTAGCGTTGCTCCTGGATCAGTCAAATATAGGAATATTAATCTGAGCTTATTCAAATTTTGAACAAACTACTTCCAAGACACTTGTGCAGTTTTGAACACCAAATAGAATTGGTTGTGTAGATAAAAAGTCTTTTCAGTGTGAAAGGATTTAGCTTTATTTTTTTTACATGTGCAAAGAAATATACTGCAGGAACTTCACTGACAAATAACAGCAACATTAAGAGGCTACAGGCATTGTGAGCATCTTTACTGAGGAAATATTTGTCAAAGAAGTGTTGCCACTAAACTCAGAGAAGTTCTTTAGGAATTGATCTGCAGTGATGTTGTAGTGAATTTAATTAGATTATCAAATATGTTTGACTAACATTGTTTCAGATAATTGAAAAATTGTAGTTAGTACACTGGAAATAATTATTACTGTTTCATTAGATTGATGCATAATCCCATATCTTTATTGTCTCTAAATTACAGCAAGTGGAAACATTCCAGTTTTGCAGAAAGACAAAGACAACACCAATGTCAATGCAGATGTACAGAAGTTGCAGCAACAGTTACAAGACATCAAGGAACAGGTAAAAGTGCTGGATAAAAATTTTATGGACCACTAAAATAATTGAAAAAGCCAATGCATGTTCTTTTATTTGAAACAAAATGACGTGTTGAAGTGCTTCAGTTCTTAAATTTTAGTTAAATAACCGGTATTTTTTGCATGTGATGTGGCTCCTCTGTCTTCTATGTACAGGTTTAAAAAATAAAACTGAAGTGGCTATGTTTGATGATCCATCTATTAGTGTTGGTATGATTAAAAAAGGATGTTCTGCCCAGTCAGTATGCTCTCTGCCTGTTTAGCTGACCTGAGTGTATCGGTAGAGCAGAAGCTGTTTTCACAGAGAAGTAATAAAAGTAGATATTCTTCACTATTCTGCATTTATCTGAGTCTTTACTTGTCTGTTCATGAATCGCCTTTGAACAATGGCTGGCAGTTACCTGTTGTATGAAGGCTGTACTTTATGTACTCTTCAAAAAATTGTGTGGTTGCAAAATTAAAACCTTTGAAAGTTCCGTACATGTAATTTGAATGTTTGGAATGTAAATAATACCGTTTGTCTTTTGTAATTATGCATACTGTTTGCAGGAGGAAATCTATTCAGATTGACGGTAGATTGTATTGATTATTCATTGGTTAAGTTACATGCAATTTAGAAACCTAATGAAAATAAAATAATGTTTCAGATAACAGATTTAAATAGGTAACTATCAGTTATGTCTCTAAGTCTAGTTCCATTAGAAGCGCTTAAGTAGTTGTCTAGATGCAAAAGTTTCTTGTGTTGAATTACTGAACTGTTTCCTTGCTTTTGTGTCTGAACAAAGGAAAACTTGATTTTGAGATTTTTCAGCAGTAAAGGAGCTAGGGTATCTGACTATTGTATGAAATTACTCTCTTAGAGCCCTGATAATGTGATTTTTGTCTTCCCTGTGTATAACACAATTGGAGAAAAGTTTTCATGGATGCAGAAAACGGAGAAGTTCTTGGTGTATTAGTTGCCTTTTCCTCTTGTAGGCTTACAGCAGTCAGTAGTACTTCAGTGATGGCAGCATCATGTTTAGTCCTGGTAGTTGTTGCTCTCAGCTGTTCATGTGTGTGAAAGCTAAGACTGAAGTGCTTAGATCACAAGTTTTTAGGGCCTATATCTCTAAATGCCTTAAACGTGAGAGTTTTAACCTCAGTGGCATGTCTGTGAAGAGCTGTTCCTGTCATATGGAGACTTGGCCAACACCCCAGTCATAGAAATTAAAATATGTACTTCAAAAGAGATTCCTTTGTAGTTTTTTTCTGTAAAAGAACATACTGATTAAAAATTGTAATTTGAAAAATGCATGTCTGTCTTGACAATAACATCTGGAGTTTCTAGATCTCTCTGACATCTTACATTTACTGTTCAGCTTCTGTTTTGCTTTTTAACATTGGATGAAAAGAATAAGGTTATTGCTTTGGTGTTTAAAATTATATATGCAAAACATGCAGATGAATGCTTGAATACAAGTAATCTATTTTCTTCATCTGTATTTTTTCTTTCCTAGTTACTTTATTTTAGGAGTTTATAAAAGGTTGGAGTTCTATTTAGGTATGCTAAGACTTTTATGTATAGGGACATGAAAGAAAACCTACTTCATTTTACAGTTTTTATTCTTTATTAGATGTGATCTCAGTTTTTTTCCAGTTTTCCTAGGGTGCTCTTTTATTTATTTACTCTTTTATTTAACACAAAAACAATTTTGTGTTACCTTTGGGATTTACTAGCCAGAAGCTTCCTAATACCAGAAAGTTATGCTGTATTAGGGAGAAGAGAGTAATTACTTTGTGTGTCATTTTCAACTTGTATTTTCTGGTTTTCGTATTTGCAGTAGTAAGAAAGATCTAATACTGGAATGCTTTGAGAATTTAAGTTGCTATTTTGCTTTGAAATACCCTTTTGTCTAATAATTTATTTTAAACCAGTATAAAGCTGATGATTGTTCAGTGCCTCTGACTGGAAAAAAAGAGGTGGTTCTGACTGTTCTTGTGTGCATCTTGGCTTGAGACTCTTTCATGTTTTCCTTAGTGTCTTCTCTGCTTAGTCTTGTGACAGGGCAAGTTGTGTATCACACTTGTGAGTAGCAAGTTGGATTTGATTAAAATTAGTCATCTCATCTTTTAAATTTGTGCTTGAAATGATGCACAGCATTCCAGTCTAATTTTGAGTTCTTTTGATTTGTGCTTGATTTGTGCAACAGTTCAGTCTTCATGTTACATTGATATTTTTGTACTTAAAATTAATTTGTTCTCTTTCAGCAGGTATAATCCTATGTTTCAACTCATACCTTCAATGATATTCTAATATGTTAGTGCAGCAAGCTTTTAAAACCATTTCTGGTGCCAAGCAGAAGTGATGCTGATGTCAACAGAATCTCCCACATCTGATGACCACACCATTCTTCAGGGATTCCCTGAATGTGAACCCTTTTGACTGTAATTGCAATACCTTCACTCCATTTCATACATAATCACCATCCTCTGTCTAATATCTTGTGTATGTTCCTTCACCATACTTACATCACTTTCTCCTTAAAAATAAATTTATTTTGTCACTGTGCACCTGTATATTGTTGGAAAAACTGTTTTAAGTAATGAGGAATTGGTATTTCAGGCAGTTTAAAACAGCTTGTTAGTGGTACAAATCTATTTGAATTGCAAACCCAGTTATACTTAAAGGTATGATGAGCACTTTTCAAAAAACTTTTACTTATCCAAAGAAGTAATTCTCACACAGAACAGGTATAGTGCCTTCTCATACCATTTGTTTTCCTTCAAAAGGTGGGAGTCAAGTGTTTCATGCAGATAAAAAAAGTAGAGCATGGTTTCACACAGAGAACGTTCTAACAAACTAATAGAAACAGATACTGCTTATTTCCTGCTGTTGTGGTACAAATTGGGTATAAGGCATACAGTGAACTTTCTGCCACTGTAAAAGTGTATACAAGCTGGTGGTTAAGTAATGAACGCTCCTTCAAAGTTGGATAGAACTCAGTTATTTGGGCTTGTATCCCACTGGGAAACTGCTGAACTAATGTAAAAAATCCTTGTCAGAATAAAATTGCATAGCAAACAGGAAGTTGGGTTGTTCCTGCCAGCTGAATTCTCCTACTGTATGAAGTAACGTAAATGTTAAAATAGCATCATATTAAGAAAGTAAGCAGCTAATGTATTTTAAATACTCTGCATTTGTACTAAGCAGGAAAAATTGGGCAATTTGCTAACACTGCATGTAGTTGCAGAAAAGATTTATAAAATGAAAATGTTAAAATGTCTCTGCTTCCACTGAACGGTGTTTGGACAGATTTTATTTTTTTAATTATTTCTGAGTCCCTTGATGATTTCATTTTCAAATGATGGTGTGGCATTTGGAGCAAAACAGACCCTTGTAACTTCAGTAATTCTGACATTTATATTTAGGCACGAAAACAAATAATTAAGCTAAAAACATAGAATAAAGAATAAGTTTTTTTCTCCAAAGATAAGAATCAGCTTTGCTTTGTCAGACCTTGGTCAAAGGCCATCACATCACTACTGTCAGGTTGTAGACACTTGTCAAAGGACAGCTATATATTCATTGGAAATAGCTGTTTCATTGGTATTTGAAGACTGTAGTTTATTGGAGGAAGAATGTGATAATTGTCCCATTGGGATGTGAAGGGGATGACTTGGTGTGAGAGTGTTTTGTTATAGTACTGTGGAAATTCTGACCAAGCTGGAGCACAGCATTTTTGGGAAGAGTGAAAGGAATTATTTTTTTTTAACAGAAATTGACATGAGGCTTTTATCAGGAAGTTTTACATT